AGAAATATTCTCAGTCCTTATGTTTTACATTAATTATTGCATCACAACAATTCCTGACAAATGGAATTTAACTAGGTAATAGCAGCTGTCTCACTTTTAGTTTTAATTGAAATTGCCAGTATTGAGAGGAAACTTATTTGTGAAGAATTCACTTTTGCAACTGATTGAAGATTTCCTTGGTAAATAGTCTTACATAAAGTTGCTTCTTCTGTAATGCACAGCTAGTGATGAGGATCTTGGTGGTATTACAATTTAGCGTTTAGCTTGATATATTATCTTTCAGTTTAGCTGGAGAAATATTTTTTTTGAGCATCTGAGTTTTCTCTTGTTGCTCTGTATTGTAGATTTGGCCTTCAGGCAACTGTAGGCTTTTGTAATGTTGATTGTTTTTAGAATTCCCTCAGCTGTTACTATGAGCTGCCTTATTACTCCCTCTTAGCTGCTTTTCTATCTCATTCCTTATTTTATGAAACTTTAACTGTCGTTTTTCCCTAAATATGAAAAAAATAGATTCAGGAGCAGAGAAGTATCCATTTTGTCACATTAAGCATGCCTCATTTTAAATATTTACACGATGTATGTTATGCTGCATATTAACAAAGGGAGATGATGGAGATCTTTGTTAAGAATGTTCTCCCTCTAATTTTCCAGCTGAAAAATGGTATCTAAGATGGCTTTGGTAGTGATGTGTTTTGTTTTGTCTCTAGTTACCCAGAAAATTCTAAAAAATGGGGTGCTAAACATAACCAGTAAGGTCACATTCTCCATGCTTTTCTGACACGTTGGGTCACGAGGGGATTCACTTTCTAACTGCCTACCATAAAGATCCATGCTGCTTTTAAGCTGGTGCAGGGTAGCCAGTCCAACTTATTCTTTCATACTTGCCTCATACCCTCTTCACTTACCTTCCTCACAGGAAAGGAAAGACAACTGTGTAGAAAATAGATTTGGCTAAATGATCAGGACGGGTACAGGAAGATGTAGGTATGAGTGGCTATGCTGAATAAGCAGGTAGTCCTTTGGTGGATATTTAGAGTTTGTGTTCCTGGACATTTAAAAAGTTTGCTGTGCAGATTAAATAATCTTTTCACAGTGAAAATTTTTTGAAAGGCACTTAAATCTGACTGTGGGTTATTGTTCTTCATAACCAATTTGATTGTGGGATTGATGTGAAGTTTGCAGTAAAGCAAAACAGCTCATAGTGCGGCAATTCTGAGGGCTCTGGGGAGGTGAAGATGTGGAAGGTATCAGAATAATTGTGTCTTCCTACTGCAATGTGTAGAATGGGGATTTAAGAAGTTGCAACTTATTTTCTTGAGTCTTTCCAGTTTCCATATTACACGCTATCTGAACCCTTACGTGTTTCCCTAATCAAAATCAACAGAGAAATAAATCTTCCAGAATCAAGCATTGATGCAGCTCCCTTTTCAACTGAAATGATTTGGAAAAGCCTCAATTCTATTAAATCAAGTTTTAAATAAACCCTCTTGTCTCTCCTCCAAAATATATTCATAAAAATAAAAATAAAGGTACTAGACTTAAAGGACTGAAATAAATTAAGTACTTGATAGATAAGGGACTATTCACAAGTATAGACTGTAGCCTTAGGAGATAAGCTCCGCTAGAGGGCAGTTCGGAGCAAGAGCGAGATGAGATTTCTCCAACTCAATTCTGCCTCAGACTTGACAACCATTTAATAACCTACCTGACCTCTGCCTTCCAGTCATTCAGCAGGGACCACTTTTTAGGCTAAAGTATTTTCTGCTGTGTCTAAACTTGATCATCCCCAAACTATGTTACACTAAGCAGAAACCAGTTCTTAGGGTTAAGTATGTATGATCGCAAATTTGCGCTTTTATGTGGTGAATTCAAGCCTGAGAGAAAGCTGGGTATTTGCATGAACATTAGTTAAGCTGCGTGTGGTATTTTTATCTCTTTAAGTATCTGTATAATGTGTACATACATGTATAAATGTGTGTGTGAGTATGTATCTGTATACAAAACGTTTTGGTGAGATGTGTGCACCTGACTGGAAATTTTCTAAATGTAATTGTAGTTTCCCTCAAACTTATTTGTACTTGTTTTCATAGATATTTCTAAAAGATCAGCACAGGGTTCCTCTATTGGCCTATGTAATTTACCAGAATAATAACATTCATTCTTTGTTTTTTACTTATCTGCATAATGGCATCTTTCATTTTTAGAAACAGATATTTGGCACTTAACTCTTACAGTTAGATGGCTACCTCTTTTTTCCTAGGCGTTTTCTAGGTCCATACTTCCCGGGGGCAAGCCACCTTCAACGACAGTAGATTTTTGTCACCACACTATCTCTAACAATTCAGAATTCAAATCGAAAATAGCATTGTGTATTTTTCTTTAATTTGTTGTGATTTTTGGAAACTAGCTAAGCATTCCTTAGGACCTTGGATTTTAACCAGAAAGCCAGCAAATAACTTCTGTGTTGAAATCAGCCTGTTGTCATGTGTGAAAAGGACTTGCAATATGTATTTCTATAATACCAGTAGAAAAATGCAGAAATTGCTCCCTGTTGCCCTTCCTGAATTCTGTGTTTGCGGGATGGGTGTTTGTCCTTATGGGAGGAGCACTGCAAGGAATTTTTATAGTTCATCTGTCTACATACTAAATGCTTAATTTTCAGATGTTTTCTGTTTATGAAAACATTTGTGTGAGCAGATGTGTTGAGATGTCTTTTCTTTGTTAGTAATTGAGGCCAGTGCATAACTTCTCACTTATTTCAATATGCTTTTCACTATTCAATTAAAGTTGTTTTCAGTATTTTTTTAATTGAGCAAGATTTTTTTTTTGAAGCAGGCCCACGCACATTTAAATGATTTTAACGTTACAGTTCATCTCAATGAGATAATGGTAAAGGCATAGTTAGAGCTAGTCAGAGCCTTTTTGGGTGGATGCGCCATATTTCCTCTTGCTGTTATGTTTGAGAATGAAAACAGTTATTTTTCTGTAAATATAAGTGTGCAAATATGAAGGGAAAGGTCACATTTTACTCTTTAGGGTCAGCTGTTGTCAGAGACAACAATTCTATCTTGAATAGAGCTAGGTAAATTAGTGTGGGGTCTGTGTTTGTACCCCCTGCCCCAACACACTTTTTTTGTGAGTAGTGAAATCTGCAGGATACAGATTTCACCATTAAAAAAATCTTTTTTTTGGAATCCTTTTTTATGAAATGTTTGTTTTGAGGATACACTGACAAAGTAGTTATGCTGGTTGTACTGTTCTGATTTTTTGCTGTAACTATCGAGTAGAGAAGTTGCGTTCTCCCTCAACCTGAATGATTTGGATCTGATGTCTCCGAGAAGAAATGTCCTATCAGGTAATTATGGTATTTGGTGATATGATGGGGAAATCAGTATTTCTGGTGGACATTGTTTTGCTTTGTAAGATTGACTAAATATTAATTAGAGCAACAAAGTACTCCAAATAATAAACTAATAAAATAAACTTATACAATTTCTGGTTTAGAAGTTGTCATTTTTCTCTCATGCTATACCAGAGGGATCATTTCTGGATTTTGTACATGACAACATTGGTCCAAATGGAAGAACTGAAGGAGGTTACTGTGAGCAATTTTTAGTTGTGTGCTGTAATCAGCAAAGCCAGCTGTCACTCTCATGTGTCTCAAACAGTCAGTCTGTATATACAGAAGATTATTCTGGAAGACATTAAAAGGCATTTAGGTGATGCAGGAATCTTTTTTTATCTTGCAGTATATGATGATATATTTTTATTCTAATACTATCTTCACAGTTAAGAAAACTGTCCTCACAGAAAGAAAAAAGAAAGCATGAGAGCGGCATTTGCATTTGCCACCTCTTTAAGGTGAACGAGAGACTTATAAATCTCTGACTCTTAAGGGCTCTGACAATTTCTATTAGATCTAATAACAGGATTCAAACGTGTTGCTGCTTCCCTGTTACCTTCTTCCCCTTGTGCTAGTGATCGCTCCTTCCGCAGAAGGAAGAGCAAAAGGCAGTCAGCATTGGCTTTTAGGCCGCTTAATAACGTTACATTGTGCAGGCCCAGTACATGAATTGCCTCCATTTTCAACCTTAAATTATTAGGCTGTATTTTGATCAACATGCAGTAATCACTGGCAGAGGGATAGGATTGATGCCTGGATTTTTGTGATTTCTGCAGTTGATCCAGGAAGAGCTCCTCAGCTGAGAGGTTATATGGTTTTCGCTGGAGGAACATGATGAAGTAAAACAGAGGAAAACAAGAGCATCTTCTGTTAGTGCTGCTGTTAATGCTACTGAGCTGTTAATTCTAAGTTAATTCTACAGCTGAACAAAATTGTATTTAAACATTTCTATAAAAATGCTTTATATTTTTCACATTTCATAAAATGATACCGTTACAACTCTATTTTGGCAAACAACTTGTGTATGCATTCTAAAGAGTCATACTTGCCCTCTATTAAAATAGTGTTTTATTTTGAAGGTAACTGTTTCAATAATGTGGAATGAAGTAAGAGAAGTAAGGAGGAGCAATTCATATGACTAAATTATAATGGCATGATTTTAGATGTCATATGCAATTCAAGGTATCTTTATGGTGATGGAAATATAATGTAGGCCACATGGGAAATCTTTGTCCTGTTGGAGCAGCAGTTGGTGGCCTGCAGGGTTACCATAAAGTCTTTGAAATGAGATCCAAGTCCCAATCTTAGTAGACTTAAAAAGAATTCTATCCAAAGTGAATACAACTTGGCAGGGCCGGGAATCTATGCAGAATTAAGATCAAACACATCATCAGCCAGCATAGGATAGAAACAATGGGTTTACTCTTAAAAACGTTCACGGGTAGATAGGCTATAGCTTTCATTGGTTTGTACAACCTGGAGAACTTGTGAACAGAAGCTGGTGAGAATACTGATTGGTTCCTTTTCTTTTCGTTCCATAGTTTTTGTTTGGTACTCATCGTTGACTGAACTACTAACTGTTCTTTTTCTCTTTTAGGTTATGGTCAGACTGGTCCAATGGTTCAGAGAAGAGGATATGACTCTATTGCAGCTGCTGTTTCTGGTCTCATGCATATCACAGGACATGAGGTACTGTGCTTAATTTGTAAATTTACAAGAATCTTTTTGCCATATACTAAGTCTTGATGCTGCACAGAATTAAGTTAGCTTATGCTAACACAACCATGTTATGCATGCTCTTTTGAGTCCAACAAAAAGTAGTCTCTCTGTGAATCTACAAAAATAATAAAGCTTATCTCCCTTGGATATCTCACTACAGCCTAGCAAAGCAATGGAAATACCTGAGAAAATGGAAGAAAGCGGTATCCTAAACTTCCAGTGAATAAATTAATGACAATATATTGTTAGTGTGTTAACAGCCACTTGAAATCACTTCAGGATATTAGTAGGTACATTGTAGACACCTGGGTAATGGAACCATAGTTATGTGTGAGAAGTCTCACGCAAGAGACACATGCTTTGATACAGTGAGTGCATCAGCTCTTTAAAAGAGGGAATTGTGGAGCCATACAAATGACTGATAAACTGCTTGAAAAGAAGCAGAGAAATGCCATTAGTGACTTTGGAAAAGCTTTAGGTGCTGCTATTCCCTTTGATATCCAAGATCTTTGATAGTCAAAGCACTAAAGAGGTGGCTTAGTATCTGGATTTCATGCATACGTAGAATGCTGTCGAAACAGGTATTTGAGTTAGCCAGCCTGAATGACCTTCAGGTTCAGGGAAGTGTGGTCTCCAAACATCATTTCCAAAGTGGCATAGTGTTGTAGATCTGTTTTATGCATCATAAACACTAGATAGCCCTCTGCTGTGGTGCTTCTGATCCTCTGGAATCAGTTGTGCAGATCTCTACTGGAAGCATGACGCTTGCATGCTCTAAATAAACAAGGAGCTCATCAAGTTTCTATACTTAGTGTCAGATGTTCATTTTTCTTGAGCTGGTTGTTGAAAGCTAACCATCGATAATCTGGACATAACTCTACTGTAGGATTGATATTCTGCCTTTGGGAATCCCTGCCAATAGACTTGTTTTTTGCTGAGAACAATGGCAAACATCAAAACTCTTGTGCCTCAGGCAAATACTGTTACCGGAGTTGTCCTTTCTATACAAAACTAAAATAAGTCAAATATTGACTGAAGCAGCTGAAATATCTCATGCCTAGTGTCGTAAGAGCGTATTGTCTGCCCATTGGTGCCATATTGGTGATACATAGTCATAGGAGGAGGAACTGTAACGCAGCAACTGGTTGTAGTAAGTGTTAATCTCAAATCTTGCACTTCAGGAATGGGAGGTTGCAGTGGGGATGGAGAAGCTTCTTCCCACTGCACTTAACTGTTATGTGTCATCTTAGAACACAAGATGTAATGCTGGATGTGCTTGTCATGGATGTTTCTCTTCAAATATTCCAGATGTGTGCATAAGGCATACATGCGTTAACCCAAACGGACTGATTATAACATTGGAAAAATTACAGTAACATAATTAACCTTTATTTACATTTTGACACTGGTGCCTGTAGAGTGAAAGTCAGTGCTTCCAATACAATGCCAGAAACGCTGTACACACCTGAAAATGTACCAAACAAAATTACATGGAGTTATAAACTTTACAAGGGGGCAAACATTGCTAGTACCAACTGAGTAAAGGAAAATACGTTCCAAAAGTTGAAAAAACAAATCTTATAAAACTTTTGAATAATTATGTGAATGAGAGAGAATACAAGTGTTTTACTGAATAATTAGATGCAACTTGTATCATGAAAATAATATTCCTCCGTTGCTGTTATGAAGATGGATTTTCATTAAAAGGTTGTGTTAAGATCTGCGTTGGAAATCCAGATGTTCACATCACCTCACCAGGACTTGAGGCAATATAATCGTAAGAAGCATTTAATCATTGCTAGTAACAGTTCCGTCTCTATTCACCAGGGGCTTTTAATAATTCAAACTTAGTCATTCTCTTGCCAGATTAAAATAAATATGCCAAAACTTACTTGTTATTTTTCTCCATTTTAAGTTTCTCGTATTTTATTTCATCATTTTCTTTAAACCATTTTCTGATGTATAGAGCAACAATTTTGTTTTGAAGCCTTCATGGTCAATAGCACCGTAGATGTTAGCGTGCCTTTTGCTGTAGTAGTGAAAACCGACTCAAATGGTTTTAAAATAACATTGTATGCTTGCTTGAAAGTTTACTATTAATAATGCATTGTTATTTTAAAGTAAATCTACAGTTATGTACATGTGACTGAGTTTTGTGGAATTTTAAACAGAACCAACTCTGAGAAATGGAAAACCTTGTTTCAGTCAGTACATAGAGAATAATATTGAGTTATTTGTTGATCAGATAATAGGGAATTCATGTACTAAAACTAATATGATGATTTGAAGTATATGCTAGAGATGAGCTTAAAGTAAATTGCAAGCGTTTGTCTCATGAACTGCTGGAGGGGGGAAAAAGCTCTAGCGGATATAATATTGTTTTTCTATTGCATTGTGATAGCCGTAGATAATCAGCAGAATGTCAGTATAAAGGTGCTCTGTGAAAACTTCCTTTCAGTGAACAAGTCACTGAGTGTGCTTGTAGGACAATCTTAGAGGTCCTAGCTGATGCAGTGAACAAATTATCCTGAATTTGAGCAGCAGCAACGAAACATCTACATACATCACTGAACTGCTTAGTTTTGAAGTATGTTAGTGTATAGTTACAGCTCCTCACAAAAAGCATTTTAATAACAGGATACTAAAAATTACATTCAGTGTTCTGATATTTTTAAATGGATGGAACTAATAGCAATGTATATTCCATTTTAGCTTAGAGAAATTTCATATTGTGAATTTTAGTTTATTCCAACCATCTGGCTGCTGATTTAATGTCTCAAAGAAAGCAGTTTACCTTTGCAGATTGTTTAACTTTATTGGGTTGACGTACCTCCAGTTAGGGAGCTCGTGATATTAAGCCATGAAATCAATAGTTTACCAGCATAGGAGTTTGAGCAAAACTTAAACATTTGTTAAGTCCATCATATATATAACATTCTCTTCCTTCAATACTTTATATTTTGTGTACCATTGTAATTTTGAGATAACAAAGATATCATAGTGGAAGAGGTGGAAGTTTTTGACTAATACATCTATTTTTTCCAAGTTATCTTTTTATTAAGGAAATAATGATGATATTAAAGGAAGAAAAAAGGTAATACAAAAGCAGAATGCACCAAAGATACAGAATAATATCACATTTAGTGCACAGTATGAAATAAACTGTGGAAAAGGGGAAAAGATTGTATGCTTTGTACATCTTAGTTTAAGATCTGTGAGAAAATTCCTGCATAAAGAAATTCCCGGTAGCTTCAAGTTCTTTGCTAAGAAGTAGTTGTTACTGAAATGACTTAATGTTGATTATTTTGAAATGATTTTTAGCAAATTTAAGCTCTGAACTTTGAAATTAAACTATAATTTTTGCAGTATTACAAATTTGCAGGCACAAACAACTGCATTTCAGCTGCTGTTTTTGCCGATTGTATAAAACCAAACATTCAGTTCTGAGTAAAATTCAATCTGTAAACCATGTTTTCATCTGTAGATACACAAAGCTACGTGGAATTCAAGCTTTTATATAGCAATAGCCTGCCTCGCTATTAGAAATATGAGACAACTGTGGAATTTGGAATTCCAGGGTGTTTATGGAAATGTACAAGCAATAGTGGGGAATCTGTTTTGTCTAAATCTGTACCACAAAGCCATTTTAAAATGAAAGTAGATACCTCAGGCCTGATTCAGTTTTTCTTTACATAAATTAAAATATGCTAAAAGGACGGAGCCTACACTGATGATACTTTTATTGTCCTGAGAGACATAATTTATAGATACTTTCCTGGTTAAACACTTACCACGTTCAAGTTTCATATTCGAAGAACAGAAAGCTTTTTCCTCATGGATTCGGATACATCAGTGGCAGATCAGTATTCCTCTGATGAAAATTTCTGTGACTCATTAAAGCGATAACTTGAATTTAATTAAGAAAAAAACAATTTGGATACAGGTTCCCCTTCTGACTCAAAGTGTATTATTGCATATTAATTTAGATATTAAGGGTATCTTTATGGTGCTGCAATCTGTTCAGGAAGCATTCTTTCTTGCTGAAGAAACATTTTGTTTCACTGAACGTGAGACAGCAAGACATGATTGGGATCTACAATACCAGAGGGGCCAGTCTTCAGCTTAAAAATAAATAAGCAAGCTGCAACAAAGGAGTACACATGGTATATAGCTCAGAGCTGTTGAAAAAATACAGCCATTGCTGGTTCATATTAGTGTCAGCAGCTATTTCCTGTCTGTAAGGACTACTGGACTTAAGAGTACTTTTATTAAGCATGTCATTTCAAAACAGTTTCCACTTTGACTGGATTGTTCTTATATTGCTGATGTAAATTTGGGCAGACCACAAAGGAATTACATCCAAGCGGAAAAAAGGTGTCCTCCTCTTCATTTGGCTCAGGAAAAGGAGCTCCCAGGACGTCTTGTGGCTTTCTCTGGGTCAGAATATGTTGACCAATTGTAAGGAATTTAGCAAACAGCAAAACCTGTGCATAAAATTGTAAACCGAGGGTACGTTAAGCAGTAGCAAAGCACAAAGCAGGAGAGAATCTTCATATGTTTGAATGAATGAAGATGATGTCCTGGAGCTGCCTATAGTTCGAGTGCAGCCCAGCCCTTGAGCCTGGGTGGCAACTTGTTTGCCAAAAGCACCTGCTCCCTGACTAGGGTTGCACTTGATCCTTTTACTAACGTACTGGCTGTGTTGTAGGTTTTTTGTCTTAAGATAGTAACTTTACTTGAATAAAAGCTTTTCTATAGATCTTTACTTTGCTCAGGGAGCTAGTATAACATGATCTACACAAAAGTACTCTTATGCTGTCAAATGCTCTTCTGTGATAAGGTTTACCTGGAAAGAATGGTACATGTGTATGTATGGCATTTCATCTTCCCTACGAAGCAGCTTCATAGCCCTTCTTTCAGGGGACAGAGATGAAAATCTAAACAAATCCATTTTTACAATAGGTACAGCTGTGCATGCTGTTGCAAACAGGCTGTTTTTTTGACACAGGATGGACATTAAAAGCTGATTAAGGGGTATAAGATGCCAGCTATTCATGTCTCAAAAGACTAAGGAAGAATGGAAATTATTTGGGCTGCTACAGAGTTATAGATTATGGAGTGTAAGGATGAAATTAAATAAAGCCAATGCTAAAAATAAGGTAACGATCTGGCTATTGATCATTGGTAATTTGATTTCTCAAATATAGCAATATTCCATAAGGGGAAGTTGTTAACCGTATTCCTATAAGTAAAAGTTAACTTTGTACTTAGGCAAAAGAAGTTGCTTTAAAAAATTAGGTAGTTTAGTGCCTGATGAGTGAAATGCTGGAATGAAGGCTTGAAAAAGGTAAAGTGTAACAGCAAACAGTCTATTACTATGTAACAGTCTGTTAAAATAATCCTCATTTTTGTATCTTCAAAGTGTAATTTTCTCCATTGGGAGAAAATTAATGAAACTTTGAAAGCAGTGGGAAGTGTTTTCAAACTAAGAATGTTGCTGCCTGTGTGTTGGCAAACTCTTAAATCTCGTGGTTTCTTCTTATTCTAGTATCTTGACTATAGTGAAGAAAGAGAAATGTTTAACAAACTGAGAACTTATAGCAGGTTATATTGGGGAAATGGGATTTTTTCTCCTTTGCGTTTCTCAGTGACAAACCTGAGAAGCAAAAACCTTCCCATGTGCTAATGAATTTTCTCAGTGGGCCCTTGTATATAACAATAAAGAACTTCCCTTTCTTTTTTCCTCCAGAGAGCTGTGTACAAGGAGAGTGGTAAATGGATAGAACCTTTGAGCTGTCCTTTCTAGTAAAAAGCTGAAGTAGCTTAGAACGGAGAAGGAGGAAGTAGGAGATTCTTCAAAAAAGCAGTGTTTCCTAAAGCGATGTTTCCTTTCAATTTGTGTAGCTTATACATCATCCTTATGTCTAGGCCATAGATAGTCACAGAATAACCTTTACTGCAATCTAGTTGATGAAATTGAGATTAAAAAAAGAAGAAAAAAATTACTTGTATTTAAGACTGATTTTATAATTTTGGGTCAGTTTTGTAATAGCCTTTCCCATCTTATGTAGAGGATAATGTTTACTCTTTTATCAAAGAATTGATCTATTAATGCAGCTGATATGTTATTTTTTGAAATTGCTTGAACTAAAGACTAACTTTTAAAATAAGCTGTATATAAGTAGACATCAGGTTTATATTATTCTGTTAGAGTGGAAAAGAAAAAAAACCCTTGTGAAGGTAAATTTTTTTGTATGTGAAGGCAAGACTTTTTGTACTTATCAGTACTCATAACTTGTATTTACATTTAACACTATACATATAAGCAATTAAAATAATTCTGCAAATTCAGTTTTACTGAATTTCTGCTAGACTTGTTTAAAGACATGTATGCTTTTACTAACAGTTACTATTTATCAGTTACAGTGATTTTGAGTTGGCTTATGGTGGGCTTACTTACATACTGCTACTATGTGTAACAATCCCATTAGCTTTAGTACTACTACTTGTGGACTGTACTTCAAGACAAGCAATGCTTATCAGAATCTGACTATCAGATCTCAAACTTTTCAGAGTAAGAAGTAGGAGGATGTCTTATAAGTCATTTTAAACATCTCTGTTAAAATCCTACCTTCACTGAAATTAGAAGGTCGTCTTGTCATTGACTGCAGAGGGGCTATGTTTCATGCTAACAGTTAAGGGAGTTTTGAAATACAATGTCAAATTAAGAGTCTTCCCTTGACGCAAGCAAAAAGAATGACATACTGAAGAAAGCTATTTAAAACAACAGTTTTCCAGTGGTAGTCAGAAGTTTAGGAGTTGGAATGTGAAGACATTGATGCCTGAAGATATTGGATGCCTGAGCCCACATACTGAGAACATGGACTGACCATGGAACAAGATGAAACATTTGCGTGATTGGAGCATTTCTTGAGTTTGTTCCTCTCTCCTGTCTTTTAGAACATTGCTGTCCTGCATATAAGTTAGAAAAGGAAACTGCCACACTTGCATCATTGTGATTAGTTGATTATTGAAAGATTATGGAAAACTGAACAGTTAATTTCAGAAATTTGTGTTCTGCACTTCTGCTGAAATCAGCTTGGACTTGACACTATTTTGAATGATTGTGTTGTTTGAAATCTGTGACACTTACTCTGCAAGTTGGTGGAGAGCAAAGACGTATTAGTAAATGTGTATCTGAATGAAAAGAGAAAAACACAGAAATGTAGATTTAAGTTCATGGGACTGCATTATTCTGTGTTTGTGTATTACATGGGGCTTATGATAGTTTACCATCATCACTTACCTTATTTGATGAACTGTGGTAACTGCAGGTGTGACAAACAGAAGATAATGTAAATTGACTTAACTATGTGCTATTAGGGCTAACTTCAATCACTTCATATTTGCTGTGGGCTAGGTGCGCTCACACTATTACTGTAGGTTGTTGACGTGCTGTAACCGGTACATTACTGGTACCTTGTTTGTGCGTGCAAGATTTTTTATATTGGACAATATCTCTGAGGAGCAATGGTACTTGGAAAGTAAAAACTTGTCTAATTTTCTAAAACAAGATTTTTAATCTTCTGATGGAGGTGGGAAAAGTGGCAGAAAATGTAAATGCAGAGGAGTTTTTGTTTTCTCACTGAAAGCTTGGAGTGCATGTGCTGAAAAATACAGAATTGAGATTTGGCTGGGTGTGATAAGAGAAGAGGGAGAAAAAGGGTGAGGAGAGCAAGCGAACATGGTTCTGCCTTTCAAACAGGCTTGCACCAGGGTCAACATACTATGAGAATCCTTTAGGCCTTTGGCTTTAAGGCGTAGTGAGATTCAGTTTTCGCTGGATTCTCTTGCCTCTAAGGGTATGTCTTTCCTTTTGGCCTTGGTGACTAAAAGAGTTGATGTTTTTCAGGCAAAAAGTAGCATAATAGATCTTTCACTGTTTGCAAATTTGCAGCATCATGAAGTTAGAGAATTGTGTAGAAACTGCAAGATTGTTTATTTTTCGGTAGTAGACTTTTTGCTTCAACTCACACAAAGATGCTCTTATTTCTTAAAGTTTGCAATGCAGAAATGTGTAAACACTTTAAGTCTAGTCTTGTGTGGAATATACTACAACTAAAAGTAAATTTTTGCCTTTTTTGTTTTTGGATGTTTTCTTTGTCTGTTAGGATGGTGAGCCAGTTAGACCAGGAGTAGCCATGACAGATCTTGCTACTGGGCTGTATATGTGTGGAGCAATTATGGCTGGTTTGCTTCAAAGGTATAAGACGGGGAAAGGACTGCACATTGACTGTAATCTCTTGTCAACTCAGGTAGGAGTTTAAAGAACAGTTTATTTTTAATTTCTTGAATTATATTTTAATTTCTTGAATTAAAAAAAAATACTTTCAGTTGTGTAGATGTTTGGACCTAAAAATACCATTTTGACACTGCTAGGAAGTGAGACCTTGGCAGTGGGTAGTATTTCTACCAGAGGGATTGAAGGATTTGCACAAAATCACCCAGTGTATCAAAATAATCTAACCTGAAAGGGTAGCTTCTGGCTCAGGGAATTAAAGAACAAAGTAAGTGTGAAAGTGCAGTGTTTTCTTTAGGCACATTTAAAAGGCGTTTCAGCAAAAAGGTAAAGACAAAGTGTTTTGATCATGAAATTAGTACCATGAGTAATGAGAACTTCAGGTTGCATTTGAACATTTAAATGTCATTGATAAAATGCTTTATACTTCACAAGAACAAAGTAATGTTGGTGTTAGCTTCACATGATCAGATGATACATTCTCTCGCTGATGTAGATTCTTGCATGTAGCAACAGGGAACATGGCATGTAGGCATTTTTGTATACATTTAAAAATTTATATCCAAACTGCATGCAGTACTAATCAAATCTCAGACAATGCCCCATTGTTTTCTTCAGTGTTTATTTGTGTATTTTTTTACATTGTCCTTCATGTCTTTAGTTCATAATGCCTGTCAGTGCAGCTGGGAGGTGATACAGCTCCCAGTGTGCAACTTGCTCTAAGTTGATCACTGTGTGAGCAGGGGCATGGACCAGATGACCTCCAGAAGTTGGTTCCTTCCAACCTATATTATTGTATAATTATATTGTATGATTATAACCCCTGAGGCTTCGTAAGGTTTCTGTTGTTTAATGCCTACTGAAATCAGACCTGGAGAGGAGGGAAAGCCCTTGCTTAAATCAACAAAGAATTTTTTATTTGGTTGAGAAATACTTGTAACAACTGAACTTTTCATGATATGTATTTACTTATAAATATTGTGTCTGTATCTGCAAAATGTAATAAACACTTTAGAGTAATATTTTAAATATCCATTAAAATCTTAAGTGTTTTATATTGGTATGAAAGTAATATTTTCTATGACGTGCCTTATAATATCTTATAGTATGACAACTTTTGCTTGATCTTCTTCATGTCTTGTTTTAGTAAAGAATTTCCAGTGATTTCCAGAATTACTGTTATTTCTTGATTCCTTGCTCCACTGTTTTGGGGTGGGGGTGGTTTTGCTTTTTAGGTTTGGGGTTTTTTTGGTTTTTTTTTTTTTCCTCAAAGCCTTCTGTATCTTTGTGTAAATTGATTATGTAAAAGAAATAACGAAACTGACTATTATCAAATTTTATCAAATGCTGAAAGTAACAAGAGATAAAGCTAGGTATTGGTGTTATTCTCTCCTACCTTTCACCTTACTTTATGCCACTGCAGCTGTCTTTAGAGTCTTTGCCTTTGGTTAAGATGGCTTTGGCTATGCACAGAAGTGCTGCTACAGAGAGTCTTTGAAATTTCCATCTCAGTTCCACGTCATCGTCTATTAGCCCACTTGTTAGCATACAGAAGAAAGGGAATGAAGGCTCAGGTAGATGTTAATGCACAAGCATGGCATGTGGTGTTTGACTTCTATCTGCTTAGCTGAAAAACTGCTGGCTAGTGCGGGGATAACTTAGTGGTTTTTTTGTATATTAACTCATTCCTTGCTTTTATCAAATCATAGTTATACAAACCTTATTAAAGAGTAATTTCGTACATAGGCACTCTTATTGCAAAATAAGGATATTTTTATTTACTTTGAAGTTAAATGTTGGGTAAATTAAACTGAAACAAGTTGTTACTTTGGAATAGAGTACATACCTAAGCTGTTATTCAGAAATAGCTGTTTTGTTTTAGATAACTGTTATCTTGGTCCAAATTAACTTTAGAGTGTTGGCCAAAGACTATAATGAGAACATTTACTTAATTGGAAGAAATATTTTTTGGATGGGGTGATGGGGTAGAAAAAACAAACCCATGTAATCAATCCTATGAAAAATGTGTTAAAATCAATGAAGAAAAACACATCTGACAGCTGAGTGTCTCTGAGAACGTATAGTTTTCCTCATTTATTTTCTTTCTTTTTGCAAACCTGGAGTTAACTTGTAAGTCTTTAAGGGTGAATGTACCAAAAAAAATGAGAAAAGAAGAAGAATAGTACAGAATCTAAACAGCTAGTTAAAAAGTTGCTCTTTCTAGTAGTTCTGGTGGTAATTTTTAAAGGAAATGTAGACAATTACTGTGATATAATCAGGTTCTTGAAAGATCCACGTTTCAAAAGGAGCATGGTTTTACATGCCAAACTGGGATATCTAAAGCTAGCTCCTCCTCATTTGATGGATATTTAAAAAGCACAACCTTTTGAAATCTCTCATGGATGCTTCCAAAATAATAAAGAACCCAAAGTTTTAGAGTTTTAGTTTGTTAGACTCTTGTTGCTGTTGATAAATGGTGGGATCTAGATAGTAGACAGCTGCATCATGCGAACTTTTCCTCCAGTGTGACTCTCACTGAAGTGTAGTAATTCTGTAAGGAGAGAGAAGGAATTGCTGCTTTCTACGTGTAAAGCAAAAGCATTGTTGAACTATCTTCCTATTAATAGTGTTATGACAGCAGAGACCTGTATCATCTCCTGTCGGTACTTCTTGCACGAATCTAATATAGAAGTATGCTACACCTTTCATCCATCCCTTCACTGGGCGTACAGTGTATCTTCATAGGGCAATATTGATGACTTTGACCGTATCTTAAAAAGGAAAAAAAGTCAGGTGTTCAAGTACTTAAATGTTTGGAAGTCACTGAAAAACATTTTGATTATTTTATACCAAAAACTAGCATGTATATTTCCATCTGTGCCTGCGCTACCACTTTTCCTCATGCTTTGTAGAAAGGCACGAGACTTTCTTTTATGGTAGGGGTGATGCTTTTGATACTAATTTCCTGCACAGATAAGTTAGTAATTATGACAAAGAGCATTGAACTGAATTCAACTGCCAATGAAAAGACTGAAGCTTTTTAAAGAAATATCACCCTGACTGGAAGGTTTGTTGAGTAGTTAACCATTCTTTGCAGAACAAGTATCTGATGATAAGTGAAAACCCATTTTTCATAATGCTATTTTTAGAATATATTTCAAAGACATCTCTTTCAAATTTTATATATCAAACATTTTGCCCTATCGCCTTGTAACAGCTTATTATTGCTAAAGGGGATTTATTTCCTCACAACAAAATAGGTTTCTAGGATTTTATTGAAGAGAGAGACAGTGACCGCTAGGATGTGGTTTTGCAGTGAACGCTAACTTTCTGTATCTCTCATCTATAAACTTTTAACCCATGTCATACAATTCCTTTGAAATTTTTTACTTTTAGATGATTTACAGTTGCCTGCTCCAGACCTTTCAACGTCAGTATCTAAATAGTGTCCTTTAGATGATGCTAGTAAATAAGAAGGAAGTGGGTTTTGGATTTGGTTCCAATTATGCAATTGTGCTTATTCTTCTGTTGTGGCTTAAAAAAAATCTCTTGGAAGTTTTAATATCCTTCCTGTATTTAATTGTAACCAGGCTCCAGCAAATACTGTAATAAGTTGGTTTCTTTTGGATTGAAAATCTGCAAAAAGTATTGTGCATTTAACATTTTTATGATTTTTGTAATTTTTTTTCAGACAGGATAATGTGGTTAATATTGTTTGTACTATATGATTGTTCAGCAGCCACTTCTCTGCTTCTTATTACTATATTTTATTTTATATTTGCTACAGGAAACTGCATTGTCTCATAATTTTAAAGTGACCCTAGAAAAACCTAAGAATAGGAATAAGTTATTTTCTACACCCCATCTTTGTCCTTTAATTTGACAGTTAGTTTACTGAGCTAACTAATAATTTCTAAATGCTATCATTTTTTCATTTCTGGTTTGCTTTTAACCCTAGATGATAGTGTTTAATACTTACCTATTTAGGGTGTTTCTAGTGGTGCCAGCAGGGCATATAATGCATCATAGGATCCCTGAGCAGTGAATTGTATGAGAAGTATCAATCTTAGCTACTGTTCGGGTATCTTGACTGTAGCTTGTTGCTTCTCTGCTTGGTAACTGAGGTTTGTGAGCTGACTGAATATAGAAAGGAAACCTGCAATGTCAGAGGCTGTTGTTGCTGGTGTGCTTGGATGCTGGTTAGTAGAAGCGTTACATAGTTGTCTTGTTTTGGCTGTGGTTTGAATAAGTTCTTTTTTTTTTTTTTTCAAGCTTATAAAGCATCACCTTTGCAAAACACTATATTCCTATTTTCTCTCGTGATAAAGATATATGTGCATGCTGTGTGGAGACATGCTGTCTGACCTCTGATATGGTGAGATAATAAATGCTAAATTAACTTGAACATCTTCTAAAATACTAGCTGTGCACCAAACACACTTTTGGCTGCTATTCTTGATATTTTCCATTGAGGACATCAATATACCTAAAAAAGAATTTATCCCTCGTGGTTTTAAGTACCTAGAATTTTATTGAAGTAGACCAGGACCAGAAACAGCAAGTCAAATTGATATTGGCCTCTGTGGAATAAGAGTTATGATTTCTAGTGATTAGTTATGCAGAAAAGTCATTGGTAGACCATACACCAATTAGATCTTGGATTTAGTGGTTTTCAGTGAACCCAAGTAAAGTAAGAGTATGTCCCCAGATTCCAAGAGGAATTTTCTTCTTTAGCTGCTAGCTGACAATAAAGCCTCTGCCTTTTTGTCTTTTCTGCTATGGTTTCTCATGCTAATGAAACTAAGCCTGAGTGTGTTACAGTGTCATTTTCCTGTGTTGAGTTACCTCTGTCATCAATTAGGGAGAGACTTGGAAGGAGATGGGAAAAAATATGCCCTTTTAATACATAGGAAAAAATAAAAATAACTATCTGGAGTGGATAAGGAGGAGATTTGAAAATAAAGGAAGGCATTTGTTCTAATGAGTTTATTATTTAGATGACCTTTGAATATGGGT